GAAAAATTTTCATAAATAGATAATGTTATTTTCTAAGTTCAACTTGGACTGAGAAATTGCTGAAGATAAAAGTTATTGGAATTTTTCTAAGTTAAATTCATTTCATTGGTGAAATCGTGAACTTTGTAGAGATTCATATCTCTCTTCAACTGTTGAGGTGCGTAAGGCACTTACAATTTTTTTCTCTATTGTAACTTAAAAAATTTTTCACGTTTTTGAATTAGGAAAATGTTATTTAATTAAAAGTTTCTTCGTTTTTTTGAATTTAAAGAAATATTTGTTTTTTGGACATAAAAAATGTTTAGGTAGTAAAATATATCGACACAAATGAAATTTGATTTCAATAAGTTTGTACAATGTTGATACATATTTAAAAAACATAGAAATTTTACTACTTTAAAACTTTGTTTTCAAAAATACGTAAATTTGAAATGTAGAACTAGAAATATACTTAAATAAAAAAAATATAAAAAACCAACAATATTAAGAAAAATAAACTGATATTTTTAATGTAAAATGGATACGATTAAGATATTTATATTTCAATTCGCGTGCATTGTACATAAAAAAATAATTTAAAATTTTCCTTAAAATAAATTTTAAAGCAGTAAAACTTTTTTTCGTATATCTATTACAAACTCATTTTTAACTTAAAATTACTAAAAAAAGTTTTTTCTTTATTTATATAAATAAAATTAATAAAAAAATTTTAATAAATAATATTAATTATTGTCATATTTTTTCTGGAGAGTTTTGTACTGATAAATTGGATAAAAATTTTAATTACATTACTACAACTTTGACCAAAAAACTCAAAATATTAATTAGTATTTGGCATCAAATTTTCTTTTAAAATAATTTGTTTAATAAAATATTACAAATGAATATTATTTGAAAATTTGATAAAATCATTTACTTTATAATTTTATTGTTTATTAAAAACAACTTTTTAATATATATTATATATTTTAAAAAGAAATTATTTTAAGAGAAAATTTGTTATCATATAACGTAATAGTCATGTGGGGTCAAGCGGACCCCACTCAGCAGAACAGTTGCTATTTCCCTTCCACTTAATTCTTCGACTCAATTCTGTAACTGAATTTTAGTTAAAGATCTAATCTATTAAATTTAATACTGTTTTTCCACATTTAAAATTATTTCACATCGAAAAATGTAAAAAGAAATTGCAATTTAGGTTTTGAAAGACCAATTTTAAGAGACCTAGGCGAAAAATTTTTCTGGTGTCATTTTGACACCATATTATCTCTACGTGTTAAATAAATTGGGTTTTAAAAATAATTTAAAGCTAAAAATGAGTTTGTTTACGAAAAAACTTTTTACTTCTTAAAAACTTTGTGTTAAGAAAATATGTTTATTTGAAAAGAACAATAAATCAAAAATTTAAGAAACTAATAAAATTTTGAGGAAAATTTTTAAATATTATTTTTATGTAAAATTCATGCGAATAGAAAAATAAAAGAAAAATATATCTTAATGGCATGCATTTTACATTAAAAATATTTGTGGACGTCCAAATGAAAAGGTACCACTTTGTCGATTACAATAAGAGCGATATTTGCATTAATGTTCACGCAAAAATAATCCTTATTGTAATCGACAAAGTGGTACCTTTTCATTTGGACGTTCACATTTTATTTCTCTTGATTGGTATTGTTGGCTTTTGTACTTTTTATTTACAAATATTTCTATCTCTATCTTTCTATTCTATCTATTCTCTATAAACGATTTTTAAAGAAATAATTTTTTAAAATAAAAAATTATATAATTTTTTGCTAAAAAATATTTTATTTTTATATTTATGCTCCTTCTAAATTTCCAGAATATTTAACGATTACATTTAACAAATTTTGAATTTTTAATTTCCTTAAATATCCCCTCACAATATGCCAAGAATCTTTAATTTTAATATTTAACAGAAATTCAAATCCAATATTTAGCTAACCTCTGTGACTGACCTTTATTATGCGCGGACATTTAAACATCAACTCAACTTCGTTTGGACCTCGCGACTCAAGTTCCCGAACCTCGTCAAGCGAGGTTCAGTCAAGGTTCAGGGAAGTTTCGGTGCTGTCCGGGATAAATACAAAAATCAAACAGGTTAAAAATTAAAATGCATTACACAATTAAAACCTTCAATAACTTTATCAAATCATAACGGATTTTTGCAAAACTTGGTACAGAAAGTATTTTGAAGTGATTGAATGTAAATACAAAAATAAAAGTCAAATTTTTTAAATTCAAAATGGCGGACTTTCCTAAAACTTATTTTTAAAAATGATCAAATTTGCTAACTTCAAATTCGTAATCAGCGACCCTGAAACCCCCCGAGTAACAATTTTTGAACGAATCCAATGAATTTTTTAATTCTCGTCCGCCATATTGGATCCCCCATTTTGAATTTTGAAAAACTGACTTGAAACCAGTTGGCAAAAAAAGTGGAACACTCCTTCGAGAGAACAGAGATTAAATTTCTGCTTATTAATTACATATAGAAAGAAAAACTTTTTTCTATGTACTTTTATAATGATAAAATAATAGTGTAATCAAATAAAAACAATTTTTGATATAAGAAAAAATGATTGAAAATACCGTTCGGATTTACCCCGGTTTTCCAATTTTCCGGGGTAAATACGAACGGTCTGATATTATTAATAAAATTTTACAGAAGGCAAAAATGAAAAATAGTTTCTGTTCTAGTATTCATAACAAACAATTATAAATAATAAAATGAATTGTTAGCTTCTTTTTCTTCAAATATGAGACAAAATACTGAAAGAGTGTCATCTTTGATTTTCAAACTTTTTTGCAATACTCGTTATCTTTGTTTATGCTGTTGCTAATTAACAAACGAAAAATGGGATAATACTTAGAATCTCTTCAAGAGGATCTGAGGTAAAAATTCTCATGTCTAATTTATTTTTTTTAAATTTTAATTAAGCTGAAATAATTAGCGATCAGATTTACCCCGCGTTCGGATTTACCCCGGCTGACCCTATTTAAAAATAATTTTTATTTTAACATTCATTTATTTAATATTATTTAAATAATTGAAAAAATTGTGCAAAATATAATAATTTATAATAAATAATAGTTATTATTATTATTAAATTATTATTTAAACAAATAATTATTATTAAATAACTTTTTTCCTAATTATGTGTAATTTTTTTCACAGCTGTTTTATATCAGAAATAAATGCGGAATACAAAACAATTTTTAAATTTTACATAGGACATGAAGAACACATTTTTTTATTAAATTTTTAAAACTAAACAATTTAAACAATTATTTAAAAAAATTTTTGAAAACAAAAATTATTTTTTAAATATTATGTTTCCGGACGAGAAAAAACGTTTTTTTTACATATTTAAGACAGTTGAATATTTCAATTGTTTATAACATTTAACAAACAATTATTTTGTTCTATTATATTCAGAAATGTGTTTTGTTTCCTAATAAGAAGCATTATTGAACTTCTTAAAATAAATTATTTTATTACTATTATTAAATTATTTTATTTAATATATGTATGTATATAATGAAATTTTTTAAAGCCTTTTAGAATGTTTTTATTTTTTTTTTAAATTACGCAAAACTGTGATAAAATTATCAACAAACATGAAGTATAGTGTAATAACATTTTTTATACTAAAAATAAAAGATTGCAGTTTGCAGTTTCATTTAGAAATTATCTATCATTTTTATCAATAGCTTTCAAAGTTGAATACATAACTGCTTTAAAATTTACACCCAGAAAAAAGATTTCTTTGAAACAAAGAAATCGTTTCTTTAAACTCACTTTTTGAATCAAAGATAAAATTTGTTTGAATTAAAAAAAGTTTTCTTTGCTTTTACGAAAAAGAAATTTTAAAGTGTTTTGAATCAAAGAAATTTTTTCTTTGAATGATTTTTTTAACCTAAAAAAAATTTCTTTAAATCAAAGAAATATTTGTTCCGAACTTAAGTACGTTGAGTTGCCACGACTGCGTTTGCGCAGACTAGGTAAATTAGTATAAATAATAATATTATTATAATATTATATTAAACAATTATAATAATAACAATAGTATAAATAAACATTTATTTCTTTGATTCAAATAAAAAATTTCGTAAAATCAAAAAAATTTTTCTTTGACCCTATAACAATGCACAAATTTCTTTGATACAAAGAAACGTTCTTTGAAACAAAAAAACTTTTTTTCTGGGTGTAAGAGTTTTTTATTTAAAATTTTTTAAGTCTTTTGTAGGTTTGTTATTTAAGTAAATATATTCTTATTTTAAGAATAATATATATATATATATATACTGAATTTAAGTATAAAATATATTCTTATTGCAGGAAGTTATATTTTTTTTCTTGCATCATTTCGGTCCTAAAGACATACAGGATGGTCAAACAAATAAAATTTTAATTTTTGACGATTTTAAAATTTTTATTTTTTGAAAATCCATGCGAGAGATTCTAAAGAATCATTAAAAAAGTGTAGAAAAAATTTGTCGATAAAAAATAGTCAAAGTTGTAAAAGAAAATAGATATTTAAAATATTAATTTTTTTAAGACTTTAATTTAATTTCTAAAATGGTCAAAAATTAAAATTTAATTTTTTTGACTATCTTGTTTATTTTTAAGACCGAAATGATGCAACAAAAAAAAAAAATATAACTTCCTGCGGTCATTAAAATTTAAAAGACTCAAAATAAAGGTGGTGACTCTCTTAAATATGCTCCAAGAATATATTCTTAATTTCAGGTAAAATGTTTTTTTTGTGTTTTTATTCATTATTTAGTTTTCTTTTGTTAATTAAAATTTATATTTGTATAAACATGTGAATATTTAATTATGTTCTAACTTTTTTTATTTTATTTATTTTTGTTCAATATTACTTTCACCTCAACTTTTTGTTTAAAAAAGTCACTTGATATAATATTGGTTTATGTGTAACAGTAAAAAAAAAAGTTATCATTTAACAACTCCCAACATAAAATAATCAATAAAAATTTTGTGATACATTGAAACATTTTTAAACTTTAGTAGTATAGTAATTTTCAGTTCTATTATAGTCACTCCACCGAACGTATATAGTTATTTGTTCTTCGCAAAAAAACTAAACAAGAGAAGGTAAAATTTAATCTTTCTTAGTCGAAGTCTACCTAAAATAATTTTGTTTGTTTGTAACAATTTTAACTATACCCCAGATATCACTTATTATTAACTTTTAATAACTTGATTTTACAAAAAAAAAAAAATGGTTTCCGACAAATGTTGTTTGTCATCAAAGGGGAACATCCAGTGGTGTTGTAGCTAGTAGACGAAAATTAAATTTGACCTATTTGACCTAGATTGGTCGAACCACCGAAAAAATAACCTGATGGTTTTCAACGTGAAATTTCCAGCTCTATCAATTCTCAGCATAAAAAGTAGATGCTTTCCATTACAAAAATGATTTTATCTTCGAATGACCTGATTAAGGTCATATAGGACAAATCCAAGGTCACCACTGGTTGTCTCCCTTTGGGGAGAACAAATTTCATCTGAAAATTATTTTTGTAAAATTAACTGATCTAAAGGCATTTCCCCTGATACAATAAAAATTATATGGCATATTTGACCTAAATAGGTCGACCAATCTAAAAAAAATTGCTTTAACTATTTCGAAGTGGAATTTTCTGCTCTTTCGATTTCCGGCATAAAAAGTAGGTGGTCCAATATAAAAAAAAATGAGTAGACCTTGAATTTTTGTAAATTACCACGAAATTTTTCATAAATTACCGAAATTAAAATCTTTAATTGCGATTTATGCTTTACATATTTTTATGAATTATAGTCAAAATTTCTATAAATTACCGCATAAATTTCCATAAATTACTGAAATAAAATTTTTAATTGTCGTTCGCGCTCTATATGTTTTTGTAAATTACCGCGAAAATTGCCATAAATTACCTCGAAAATTTCCTTAAATTACCGAAATAAAAATTTTTAATTGTCGTTCGCGCTATATATATTTTTGTGAATTACCCCAAAAATTCCCATATAAACATTTTAAACCAAATTTCAACTATTTTATAGAATTCAACAAGCAAAGAATTTTTTTTTAATTTGTTTAAAAAAATTATAAAATTATAAAAAAATTTTCCGGCCCACCATGGATATTTATTTCTTGACGCACTTTATCTTCAAAAATATGTATATTGATATTTATCATTTCGATAAAAAAATATTTTTAAAGTTTCAGACACCAAATTATGTATTATTTATTATGTATTTTTTAGTCCTCTTTCAGAATCTATAAGAAAATTTAACTTTTGACTTAAGGATAAACAGTTATGATTGTTTAAACAAAAAAAAAGACGAATTTTTTTGGTTTTTTTCCCATTAAAACTATATTTTTGATTCGAAATCGCGTCAGAAAAAATTTGGAATGGCAAAATATCGCGTCCAAAATGTCTGCCCTTTCATTTGGTGATGATAAGAAATTTTTATTTTCGCTAAATTTGAAATGGCCACCAAAATGTCTGAAATTAAGTCGTTCAGTCCCATCATTAAAAAACTAGATAAATGTCTGATACAAGTAACAAATGACTTTGCGGACTATAATTGAAAGGAAAAATTGAAAGATGAAAGCAACCCCTAATTCTTCATTCAATTTGTTCCCTAAACGTTCCGATTGTTAGAACATCATCATTGGAATATAAGTTCAAAAAAATGTTTACTTCCGACTTTCTGCAAAAGATACAATGAAAAAATAATTTATTTCATCCAAATAATCGATTATTATATGTCAAAGTCGATGCAATTTTTACATAGAGCTTCAATGGAAAAATCGCATCGACTTTGAACTATCCTTACCCAACCAAAAATTTCAGTATTATACCAGAGTTGACTATTGGCGCAGTACTGGTTCAGTATTGGCTCCCGAGGCTGGGCAGTCTGTACTGAACCAGTACTGGTATTTACATTGTATCAGTACTGATGCGGTACCACCCTCCCAGTACTGGCTAACCAGTACTGAGCCGATATTGAGCCAGTGAACCCGATGAATCTTTTTGTTTAAATATTTTGTTCATCAAAATTTTTTCAACTTGATTTTATTTTTCAAAATTAAAATTTACATTATTTTGCTTTTCTGTGGGTAAAATTATTTAAACAAAAAGTTTCCTGAGACTAAGTCTAAAACATTTTGCAAGATTTTCTTTTTATTTTCACACTGAGAAAAAAGGTTTGAGCTGACAACCAAATATTTCATTTAATATATGTGCAACTAAAATTTTTTGGTTGACACAACTAAACTTTAGTTGACATCAACCAAAGTTTGGTTGAGACTACCAAATTCTTTTTCATTTTCTTATTTAGTCGTCTGAAACAAACTTTGGTTGTTGTCAACTAAAGTTTAGTTGTGTCAACCAAAAAATTTTAGTTGCACATATATTGAATGAAATATTTGGTTGTCAGCTCAAACCTTTTTTCTCAGTGCAGATATATGGTATAATATAAATTTAATTAAAAAAATTAAATACAATCGCAAGTAAAATTGCACAAATGTTATATTATCAATAATATAAAATATATAATTAACCTTTCTTAATAGAAATTATAAAAAATAGTTAAACCTACAAACTTACATATTTCAATGGTCAATAAAATTATTGTAATTTGTTTCTGGATGTTATTCTTCAGTTTTTTCCAAAAGTGAATTATAAACAAAAATTAATTACCTAATTTCAGGAATTTAGTATTCATTATTTATTAAATCATTATATTTGTGATGAGTTAATTTGTAAACTAATTTTGTTTTATGTAAATTGAATTGAATTCAATGGTAATTTATTTATATTTTGATATAATAATTAATAAATTAAAGTGAATAATAAAATAATTAAATAGTTAATTGCATAATCATATACATTATAATTATTTTATAAACATTTTTATTTTTACTGAACTGTTTTTATATATTATAAAAACTTTGATTTTATAATAAACATATTTTTATATTTACACTGAGAAAAATAATTTCGTAATAATAAGAAAATAATTTAGTTGAGCTTTTTTAGTTGGCGTTACTAAAATATGGTTGTCACAACAGAATAGAAAGTGGCAATAAATCGGGAAGTTTAGTTGGCTCTACCAAAAAATATATTTGAAGCTTTCATGTTTACGAACTAAATAGTTTGGTTCCCAGTACTAAATAGCTGACATGCTGTATTGCGCACGCGCTCTTCTCGTAAATATGGCGTCGCTTCCCATTCACGGGATGTCAACATTAACCATATGTCGTTCGCGTCGTGAAGTTTCAGTGTTGAAGTTTTTATGTTTTTCAGACATTTTTTTAAAAAAAAAGTTTGTGTAGTGAAAATAAATAAATAAAACTTGTTACAAGAACGAAAGTTTTTTTCCAGCTTTTATACATTGTGAAAATGATTTAATCTCAAATTGTTAGTAGGATTCGTAGAGTAGTGGTCAGCGTTCTCGACTAGCGTTGCGTAGTCTGAGGGTTCGAGCCCCAGCAGTGTTAGGTTTTTTCCGCGATAGAAATTAATTTAAGTAGGCATAGGTAGGTTATATAAAGAGAAAAGGGTGAAACAAAAAAATAAGTTGGTTGAGAAAACAAAAAAAAAATTTTCATTTAACTAAATTTTTTGTTTGCTTAAAAACAATAAGTTAGTTGTGCAAAACAAAAAATTTGGTAGACCGAACAAAATGATTCAACGAAAAAATTTAGTAGCCCGAACCAAACGGATTAGTTGCACATATATCAAATAAAAAATTTGGTAGAGAGAACCAAACTTTGGTAGATGATACTAAACATTTTTCTCAGTGTATTTTTTGATTTTTTAAAATAATAATTTGCAATATATATTATAAGAAGGAATGAAAATTCTTGGTGTTTTCGATTTTATATAATAAAATATTAATTAGTTAGTTGACTAATTTAATTAATATTTAATTTGTCTTGGGTTACTAAAAATTTCAGACACTTTTTCCTAAGTATACCAAAAAGTATTACGTGGAGTGAAACTTATCTCTATTACAGTTAAAGCTTTCTTTTCGTATACAATAAATTACAAAACTGCCAGTACTCGGCCAGTACTGAACCAGTAGTGGTTACCAATACTGGTGCCAACTCTGGTAGCCAATACTGGTAAAATGTTATCATCTCAAATTTACGCCAACTCTGGCGCCAATACTGGGTGCCAGTACTGCGCCAGTATTTGTCAGTACTGTGCCAGTACTTCGCCATTAGTAAATTTTTGATTGGGTACATAAGAAGTCTTGTAAATTTTTGCAACCTTAAATTGAAGGTTTTTTAAAATTTTTTCTCAAAAGTTTCAGATTATAATAAGTTACCGGGGTGGCGAGTTTTTTTCTGATTTCAAATTCCCGGTCATTTCCCGGTTTTTCCCGGTCAATTTAACTAATTTCCCGGTCAAACTTATTTTAATACCCAGACAGCACATAACATTGCGGCAATATTGCTGGGCAAGTTTCGCAATATTGCCGTGTAACATTACAGCAATGTTGCCACAACATTAAAATGTCCCACCTTGCTCAATACTGCACAGTAAGCTTGCCACAAGCTTATGTCAAGGTTGCACCACAAGTTTGCAGCAATGTTGCACGGTAACATTGCCGCAAGATTGCTCGGCAAGTTTGCATCGTAAGCTTGCTGTAAGATTCATGTAAGGTCGAATAGTAAGCTAGCTGCAAACTTGATGCTACAGAAAATTCTCGCCGTAGGCCATAAAAATAATTTTTTCTTCCATTAAAAAATAGCCAGATTTAAATGTTTTAATTCCATTTTTTATCCTATCTTTAATTTTTTTTAATTGAACAATTAAGTAAAATAAAATTTAAATTATGGATATTTTCTTTTTTGAAGTGACGTTCAAATATTATATAGCCAAAAAACTGACAATAAATTTAAGAAAAGTGCCTACGGCGAGAATTTTCTGTAGCATTAAGTTTGCAGCTAGCTTACTATTCGACCTTACATGAATCTTACAGCAAGCTTACGATGCAAACTTGCCGAGCAATCTTGCGGCAATGTTACCGTGCAACATTGCTGCAAGCTTGTGGTGCAACCTTGACATAAGCTTATGGCAAGCTTACTGTGCAGTATTGAGCAAGGTGGGACATTTTAATGTTGTGGCAACATTGCTGTAATGTTACACGGCAATATTGCGAAACTTGCCCAGCAATATTGCCGCAATGTTATGTGCTGTCTGGGTACCTTTTAATTTTCTGTGTACTACTGTGAATTAAACTTCTTTCTTCAGTTCAGTAAAATATTATGACATTATAACATACAATATTATGACATTAGTAATTATAAACCACAGTTATATTTGTGAAATTAAAACAAATTTATTTTTGATGAATTTAAAAAAATTGTTAAAAAATGAAAAAATTCCCGGTTTAGTAATGAATTTCCCGGTTTTCTCGGTCACTTTTTGAAATCCCGGTCATTTCCCGGTTTCCCGGTCCACTCGCCACCCTGGTTACCCTAGTAGAAATTTGTCCTCGCTATAATAAAAGATCTGTCCAATCGTGCTTGAATTTGTTTAGTTACTTTACTAGTCAGCTCGCTGACAACTCGAATGTCATGTCACGCTTTTTCTTATCAAAAGTAATACATATTTTACAGAATAAGATTTTAACGAATCATAATTCTCAAAATTTTGTTTTAGAGCTTCGTTATGCGTCCCGTTTATCAAACTAAATTTTATTGATTTTTTTATATTCAAAGTTGTTCAATGATAAATTTTTATTATTGGACGACAATCCAATATTTTTTTAAGGATTCAGTTTTTTACACGTGCCTCTTTATTGCTTTAAAATTTTTAACATGTGGCGTCTGTAAGTGTATTTTCATTTTTTGAACTTTATAAATTATATTTTATATAGTATACAAAATTTAAAATTACACAAACATGTACACAACTACACACACACATACACACAATGTATTACACTTGTTAATATTTGTAATTTCCTGTAATGTTGGTTGGGCTCAGGATTATTATTTTCTCTATGTAATGTATCTTTTCAATATTTAAAATGTTTTTTAAATTGAGCTCTCTTATTGGCCTGGCGATCATGCAGTCATGCTATCCTTTGCTATCATGCTCATCCTTGTATCTACAGCTGATCATATCATAAATATCGGACCGTTCAAATGGCCCCACACAGCACATGAAATTTCCTAAATATTTCTGAAATATTTCATTGAAATTTTGAAATATTCCAATGCGAAGTCCTTGAAATATTGCTGAAATTAGGTAAATGTCCGCCTATAAGAAATATTGCCGTGTAATGTTGCTGAAATATTTCATTAAAATATTATAGAAAAATCCCATTTAAATGATGCGCACTGGTCGATCTCAGTTTCTATGGTCTGTACAGCTGCGCAGTAGTTTTTAATTTTCCAGGATCCTAAGGTGTTAAACATGTTAGAAAATAACGATTGATTTCATATTTTAAAAAAGTTTCTAACTTTTTTTGAAATGTTTCCTGAATATTGCAGAGTCTTCATGTGTAATATTGCAGGAGTATTAAAGTGTAATATTTCAGCAAAATTGCACGGCAATATTTCTTATAGGCGGACATTTTTCTGTTTTACTCAACATTTCATGAACCTTGCATTGAAATATTACAAATCTTTCAATGAAATATTCATGAAATATTTAGGAAATATAATGTGCTGTGTGGGCGCCCAGCAATGTACTCTGTACTCTCCTCACCCTCTCTTTTTACACCGTTTTATCCTTTTCTAACTAGAATAATTTTTCCTTAATTTTATCTTTTTTCTCTTTTCCCAAGTGATGCTTTGAAAAGCGGTCGCCATTTTCCAATCAGTCTTTATTTATTTCTCGTCCTCAGCACAACCTCTCTTCGAGCTCAAATTAATTTTTTAAATAAATAATATAAATCTTTTGTTAAAAATATTTATTAGATTTTATTAAAAATGTTATTTTTTTCGGATTAAAAAAATTATTATAATAAAATTGAGGTGTAGTATTAATTTATAGAATTGATCACGAAGAAAACAATCAATACACTGCGAGTCAATATATATATATTTGCACATTTTACATATCACTCGTAAATCATTCAGAAGTAATATTTCTTTGATTCAAAGAAATTTTTCTTTAGATTAAAAAAAATCATTCAAAGAAAAAATTTCTTTTTCGAAAAAGCAAAGCAAAACACACTTTTAAAAAAAAGAATATTCAGTTTATATAATACTTAAATAGACAAATTTTTAAAAGGTATACACAGTACTTTTGTGAAAGTGTCAAAATGTTGAACAACGAGCAGAAAAACTTTATGAAGTAAGCTATGCAATATTTATTTATTATTTATTTCAGTTCATGTAAGAAATATTATAGATTATATTATATTTTATTATATTACATATTAGTTTGCAAACAATTGAAAATCTTGTAAATTGTTTTTTTTAAATTGCAGAAAAAACCTTTTTTTGTTATTATTTAAAAATTTTAGGAAAATTGAAACTTTCTTGTCTGTAAAGAACAAAAAAAAATATATTTAAACGAATTTACGAAATCGATTAAAGCTAACATGAAGTCAAAATTTGTGGAATTCTATTTTAAATGTTTGCAACTAAATTATTTAAGGCATAATTTAGAAAAATGAAACAAAAAATAATACAATAATAAAAAAATTTACTAAGTTAAACATTCCATTAATAGTATATTATGTGGCAAGCACGTAAAGTAGTACTTTTTAGGTGAGGATGTAATTTTCAGTACGAGCTGTCGTTAGTGCGACGTAGGTGAGACGAAGTCGAGCCAAGTCGAACCGAAGTCGCACAGACAGCGAGTATTGAAATCATCCGAACCTAAAAATTACTACGTGCGAGCCACATACGCTATTTTTTTCGCCATTGTTATGAAAAAGTGAAACAATTTTAAAGAAATATATATATATATGTGCCATTCCAGGAGTTTTTTAGCACTTTTCGGAGTACCCTGTTGAAAATTCCGACCTCGTTTACGACGTCGTATTCTAAGTAGTTTGCGACGTAGTAAACGACGTAGTAAACGACGTAGTAAACGAAGTAGTAAACGACGTCGTAAATGAAAGCGGAATTTGGGATAGCAAACTACGTCGTTTACTACGTCGTTTACTACGTCGTTTACGATGTCGTTTACTACGTCGTTTACGATGTCGTTTACTACGTCGTTTACTACGTCGTTTACGATGTTGCAAAAATTATTTTAATATTATTCATTTAGTAATTTAGTAAGTCCAATATCCAATATTAAAAATTTTAATAATAATTTAAAAAATCAATAATTTAAAAAAAAATTTATTTTTATTATTTTTTTATAGTTATTATTATTATTTTATTTTTAATATTTAAATTAAAATAAAAAAATGGTCATCAAAATATTAGTGAAACCATTTCTTCCAAAAAAGAATTTGTCTCAAATCCAATAAAGGAGAGACATCGGGCAGAAAAAAATTTCGACAAAAAAAAAATTTTCGATCACTGCTTATATACCAATCTAAAGGCACCTCAACTGCGAGAAACAGTTATGATGTTCGCCCTCCCTGTGGCGTTGAGCGAACTTAAGTCCAGAGCTGAGCCATCAGCGCAGCGCGGAAACATTTGAAAAATTTGATTTTATTAGATATTTTATTTTATTTTAAATATGACAAATAATTAACTTAATAAATAATTAATGTCATAAATAATTATTAATAACATAATGTCATACTTAATAATTCGTTAATTAATTATTTTTAACGAAAATTTGACAAAAACAAAATTTGTTGGCCAAAAAAAATATTACCATTAAAAAATAATTTTTTTGTTAAAATTTCGTAGTAAAAAAAATTTTTTCAAGACAATTATTTGTGACCTAAAAAAATATCACGATGAGAATATAATTAACAAAAAAAATTACTCGTAGCACAGAAAAAATTTCACCATGAGAAAATAATTTTTTTTAAATTTTATTTGTAAAAAATTTATTGGTAGCTCAAAAAAAATATCACGATGAGAAAATAATTTTTTGTCAAATTTTCTCTGTAAATAAATTAATTAACTAAATAACGTACCGTAAAACGGGGTTATTTCGCTCATTGCGGGTAAATTCGCTCACCCACTTTTATGCTTTATTTCAGCTTTAAAATAAAGTTTAATACCTATATTAGCAGGTAAAAATGTTAAATTTGTTAATAGAAATACTAAATTTTAGTTTTTAATCAAATTTAAATCAAAAAAATGGGTGAGCGACTTTACCCGCACTGAGCGAAATAACCCTGTTTTACGGTAATTATTATAGTTACTTAATTTTTTACTACGAAAATGTAACAAAAAAATATTTGTAGAACAAAAATAATATCAAGATGAGAAATTTAATTATCTTTAAATTTTCTCTGTAAAAAAAATATTTTGTGGCCTAAAAAAATTATATCACGATAAGAAAATAACTTTTTTGTCAAATTTTCTCTTAAAAACAATTAATTCATTAAATACCGTAATAAATCGTTGATTTTTTTTACTACAAAAATTTACCAAAAATTTATTCGTAGCACAAAAGAATATCACAATGATAAAATAATAATTTTTTTTCAAATTTCCTTTGAAAAAAAAAATTCGTGTTTTTAAAAAAAATCACGATGAAAAATAATTTTGTTGTAAAAATTTCTCTGTAAAAAAATTTAACAAAAAAATTATACGTAGCACAAAAAAATATTACGATGAGAAATTTACTTATTTTAAAATTTTCTCAATAAAAAAATTATTTGTGGCCCAAATAAAATATCACGATGAGAAAATAATTTTATTTGTCAAAATTTCTCTGTAAAAAAAATTAATTAAATAATTATATAATAATAAAATGTTTGGTCTGTCTTTCTGTCCTAACTTGAAGTAGTTGAAGTTGGCCTTTTCTGATTTCACGTATTTTTTTGAATATAGTAATCTTATGACGTGTCAAATTTTGACAATTCTTTTTCTCATTTTTGCCAAAGTTGTATAATTGTGTTTCCAAATTTCGGAATAAGTTTCTTTAAAATTCCAAATTAGAAAATTCAATTCACGAAGCTGAAGTACACAACGTTTACCAACGAAAATTTTTTTAAAGTTGTATATTGATTCAAAAATTGTATACAAATACAAAAAATTTATAATGAGAAAAAAGATGCGCCAGGAAATTTCGTACAAGATAGTAATTTGAAAAAAATTTATTTTTAAGGTACCAGGGGCCAACGATTACCTATTAAATATTAATTATAAAAACACAGGCCTCGAATCAACTTAAAGACACAAAACAGTCGTTTTAGTCGATTTATATTCCAAAAAAAAGTGGATTTGTTTTTCATTTTAACAAAAATATTTTACAGATTTTTAAATAAAAATTTTTTTTTAATAATAATCCTTTTCGAAGGGTTAAAGTTGAAATTTTTAGAAATAATTAAATTTCAAAAGATATAGTTAATTTTCAAACAATTATTAAATTTTACAGATCTAAAAATAATTTATCAAACAATTTTTGGAAAACATTTTTTAAATTTAATTGAATTTTCAAAGATTTAAAATTGAGATTTTTGAAATTAATTGAAACTTTAAGTGTTTTGTAATTAAAATTTTAGATGATTTCACTAAAAATTTATTAGAAAATGCGGACAAAATACAATAATTTGAAAATCATTTTTAATTGAAAAATGGTTTCACATAGTTGAATTTTCAAAGAATATTATTAAAATAGTTAAAAATAATTGAATTTCCTTAGAGTTATAATTGAAATTATTAAATTTCAAAAAAAAAAATTTCGATGGAAAATTTTAGAAATTTTAGATGCTTTTAAATTCAAATTATTGAAAATTCAATTAATTTTGAATTAAAATTTTTGAGAATAATGAAATTTAATTTTGATTTTAAATTTGGAAAATAATTGTACTTCAGTTCATTTTGAATTAAAAATTTTGGGAAATACTTGAATTTTACTTGAAATTTTTTATAATAATTTAATTTAAGTTCATTTTTGATTGAAAATTTGGATAATTAATTTTGAATAGAAATTTTAGAAAATAATTGAATTTTATTTCATTTTAAATTGAAAACTTGGTAAATAATTAAATTTTAAATTGAAAATTTTGGATAATTATTGAATTTTAATTGATTTTGAATTAAAATTTCGGGTAATAATTGAATTTTAGTTTATCTTGAATTGAAATTTTTAAAAAATAATTCAATTTTATTGTGATATTTTTTTTTAAATTATAAACAATTGTTAAATTTCATAAAAATTTTAATTGAAAAATAATTTTGATATAATTGAATTTGTGATGTATTTCATTAAAATTATTAAAAATAATTAATTTAGTGAAGAATCATTTTAGTTCAAAATTTGTTAAATAATTGAATTGAAGAAGATCTGAAGAAGATCTACATTTTATACCAAAAAAAATGTATTTTATTTACATTTTCTTTTCAAATGTAAAAAACAAGTCGCATTTTATTAAAATAAGTTGATAAAAGTCGTATTTTTGAAAAAAGTCGGAAAAAGTCGTATAATCCGAGGCCTGTAAACATATAATTTTCATTATTATCATTTAATATGTTATAATATTCTAATAAATTAAATTATTATTAATAATATTAATCTTTAATTTCTTTATAACAAATAATTAAATCCTCAATTTGGCGCGCTTGCGCGCGTTTAATTTTGCTAGTTAGCTTAATAATAAATTAATTAATTTTTTTATTACGAAAATTTAACCTGGTAATAAATGTATTAAACTTTATTTTAAAGCTGAAATAAAGCATAAAAGTGGGTGAGCGAATTTACCCGCAATGAGCGAAATAACCCCGTTTTACGGTACGTTATTTAGTTAATTAATTTATTTACAGAGAAAATTTGACAAAAAATTATTTTCTCATCGTGATATTTTTTTTGAGCTACCAATAAATTTTTTACAAATAAAATTTAAAAAAAATTATTTTCTCATGGTGAAATTTTTTCTGTGCTACGAGTAATTTTTTTTGTTAATTATATTCTCATCGTGATATTTTTTTAGGTCACAAATAATTGTCTTGAAAAAATTTTTTTTACTACGAAATTTTAACAAAAAAATTATTTTTTAATGGTAATATTTTTTTTGGCCAACAAATTTTGTTTTTGTCAAATTTTCGTTAAAAATAATTAATTAACGAATTATTAAGTATGACATTATGTTATTAATAATTATTTATGACATTAATTATTTATTAAGTTAATTATTTGTCATATTTAAAATAAAATAAAATATCTAATAAAATCAAATTTTTCAAATGTTTCCGCGCTGCGCTGATGGCTCAGCTCTGGACTTAAGTTCGCTCAACGCCACAGGGAGGGCGAACATCATAACTGTTTCTCGCAGTTGAGGTGCCTTTAGATTGGTATATAAGCAGTGATCGAAAATTTTTTTTTTGTCGAAATTTTTTTCTGCCCGATGTCTCTCCTTTATTGGATTTGAGACAAATTCTTTTTTGGAAGAAATGGTTTCACTAATATTTTGATGACCATTTTTTTATTTTAATTTAAATATTAAAAATAAAATAATAATAATAACTATAAAAAAATAATAAAAATAAATTTTTTTTTAAATTATTGATTTTTTAAATTATTATTAAAATTTTTAATATTGGATATTGGACTTACTAAATTACTAAATAAATAATATTAAAATAATTTTTGCAACATCGTAAACGACGTAGTAAACGACGTAGTAAACGACATCGTAAACGACGTAGTAAACGACATCGTAAACGACGTAGTAAACGACGTAGTAAACGACGTAGTTTGCTATCCCAAATTCCGCTTTCATTTACGACGTCGTTTACTACTTCGTTTACTACGTCGTTTACTACGTCGTTTACTACGTCGCAAACTACTTAGAATACGACGTCGTAAACGAGGTCGGAATTTTCAACAGGGTAACCTTTCCAAATTAAATGAAACATTTTTTTAATAATATTTATTAATATAAAGGTCCAAAAAAATCACTTTTTAAGTAAAAACAATTGTTTATTTAAAAAATACAACAATAAATAATGCAAAAAATTCACTTTTTTCCTGCAACTCCAAATAAATTGGTTTAAAGATCAAAATTTTCCTTATTTTTCAAGCTTTCATACCGCACAAGAAACATAGAGTCCGAGAAAATATTCAACTCACAATTTTTTAAACAATGTTTGTTTACTTTTTTGTATTTTATTTACTGTGAAACGTCTGCTAAAGCTGCGCGCGACGTTTGGAAGCTGTCGCTTTCCTTATTGAGCATAAGCTAATTACACTAGCGTAGTAAAAAACATGTTGTGTGAAAAGTGAGGTTTTTCATCCTTCAAAAATGTTTTTTATGATTTTTTACTGCAAAGTAGATAATTAAAAACCATTCAATGTGATAACCAGAAATTTTTACGCTTCGTTTAATGACAACATAACCTCACTTTTCGCACAACTTGCTTTCTACTACGCTAGTGTAATGAGCTTCTGCTCAATAAAAAAAGCGACAACTTCCAAACGTCGCGCGCAGCTTTAGCAGACGTTTCACAGTAAATAAAATACAAAAAAGTAAACAAACATTGTTTAAAAAATTGTGAGTTGAATATTTTCTCGGACTCTATGTTTCTTGTGCGGTATGAAAGCTTGAAAAATAAGGAAAATTTTGATCTTTAAACCAATTTATTTGGAGTTGCAGGAAAAAAGTGAATTTTTTGCATTATTTATTGTTGTATTTTTTAAATAAACAATTGTTTTTACTTAAAAAGTGATTTTTTTGGACCTTTATATTAATAAATATTATTAAAAAAATGTTTCATTTAATTTGGAAAGGTTACTCCGAAAAGTGCTAAAAAACTCCTGGAATGGCACATATATATTCTGTATTATATATTATAAATATATATATATATTTATATAATATATAATATAATATATATGAAATAGTATATAAAATAAAATAATAAAAATTGATAAATAAAATAAAAGCGAAACAAAAATTATGCAAAAATTAACAGCTGCCTAAAAAAGACTTTATAGGGCAGTTTTATGCCTAAAAAAGTCTTTTTTAGGCAGTTGGCCCAAACTGCCTTAAAAAGTGCTACTTTATCTGCCTAAAACAGGCACAAAAAAAAACTTTTTCATGTCAATGGCGAAAAAATAAAATTTTAGGGAACTAAATTAAATAATCGATTATAATACGGAAAGTATTTTAATTGCCGACAATTGAAAATGTTTGTAATGTATTTTTTTTAATGCGAATTAAGCTAAAGATATAAATAAATGAAATTCTTATTTTAAAAAGAAACACTAGATGGAGAAGAGCACTAGATTTAAAACTAGAACTAAAAACATTCTGCTTTGCACTTCTTATATGTCTACCAGAAGCACATACTCTTAAAAAAAGTAAGTTTTTTCTAAAATTAAATTTTCCTAACTAAAAAAATTAAATTATTTTATTTGGAATACAAGTTTCCCTTTTGAATTAAGAAACACGATTGAGCTCGATAGAAAATTTGTTTTTAACCGTTTTCTATTGATTTCAATCGATTTTAATCGATTTTCACTATAAGATTATTTCCATATTATATACACCCGCGTGAAAAACGAACTATGGGAAAAAGCTATCAAAAGCTGGCAAAAGATGGGAGAAGATTTTTGCCATTGTTTTTAAGTTTTATCCCATATTTTAAAGAATTGCAAAAAGCTGACAAACCATTGCTTATGAGTCTTTCCCATACTTTTCTTTAATATCATATAATATTGCTAAAATCTTGCCAAAGTATTGCAAAAAAAAGAGGAATAAAATAAAGTCAATTTTTTCTAACTTACTTCTTATTTTTTTCATTTTTTTTCTTAAAATCATTGCAAAACAATGGGAAAAAGATTAAGAAAGAAAAAATTTATTTTTCTCATTTTTTCATCTTTAAAAATTAGATTTTTAAAGTATTGCTAAAACCTGGCAAAAATATACGAACAAAATTAATCAATTTTTCTCGTTATTTTAGCTTTAAAAATCTGATTTTTGAAGTATTGCAAAAATATGGGAAAAAGATTTTGAAAGGAAAAATCAATTTTCCTCTATTTTCCAACTTTAAAAATTTGATTTTTAAAGTATTGCAAAAATATGGGAAAAAGATGTTGTAAAAAAAATAAATTTTCCTCTATTTTCCAACTTTGAAATTTTGATTTTTAAAGTATTGCAAAAATATGGGAAAAAGATGTTGGAAGGAAAAATCAATTTTCCTCTATTTTCCAACTTTGAAATTTTGATTTTTAAAGTATTGCAAAAATATGGGAAAAAGATTGGAAAGAAAAAAAAATTTTTATCATTTTTTCAACTTCAAAAATTTGATTTTTAAAGTATTGCAAACATATGGGAAAAAGATGTTGTAAGGAAAAATCAATTTTCCTCTATTTTCCAACTTTGACATTTTGATTTTTAAAGTATTGCAAAATATGGGAAAAAGATTGGAAAGAAAAAAAAAATTTTATCATTTTTTCAACTTCAAAAATTTGATTTTTAAAGTATTGCAAAAATATGGGAAAAAGATGTTGGAAGCAAAAATCGATTTTCCTCTATTTTTCAACTTTAAAAATTTGATTTTTAAAGTATTGCAAAAATATGGGAAAAAGATGTTGTAAGGAAAAATCAATTTTCCTCTATTTTCCAACTTTGAAATTTTGATTTTTAAAGTATTGCAAAAATATGGGAAAAACATTAGAAAGAAAAACACAATTTTTATCATTTTTTCAACTTCAAAAATTTGATTTTTAAAGTATTGCAAAAATATGGGAAAAAGATGTAAGGAAAAATCAATTTTCCTCTATTTTCCAACTTTGAAATTTTGATTTTTAAAGTATTGCAAAAATATGGGAAAAAGATGTTGTAAGGAAAAATCAATTTTTCTCTATTTTCCAACTTTAAAAATTTTGATTTTTAAAGTATTGCAAAAATATGGGAAAAAGATTGGAAAGAAAAACACAATTTTTATCATTTTTTCAACTTTAAAAATTTGATTTTTAAAGTATTGCAAAAATATGGGAAAAAGATGTTGTAAGGAAAAATCAATTTTCCTCTATTTTCCAACTTTGAAATTTTGATTTTTAAAGTATTGCAAAAATATATATTTTTTCTTTCCAATCTTTTTCCGATATTTTTGTAATACTTTAAAATTCAAATGTTTAAAGCTGAAAAAACGATAAAAATTCATTTTTTCTCTACCAATCTTTTTCCCATATATTAACAATACTTTGAAAATCTAATTTTTAAAGATGGAAAAATGAGAAAAATAAATTTTTTCTTTCTTAATCTTTTTCCCATTGTTTTGCAATGATTTTAAGAAAAAAAATGAAAAAAATAAGAAGTAAGTTAGAAAAAATTGACTTTATTTTATTCCCCTTTTTTTTGCAATACTTTGGCAAGATTTTAGCAATGTTATATGATATTAAAGAAAAGTATGAGAAAGGCTCATAAGCAATGGTTTGTCAGCTTTTTGCAATTCTTTAAAGTATGGGATAAAACTTAAAAACAATGGCGAAAATCTTCTCTTATCTTTTGCCAGCTTTTAATAGCTTTTTCCCATAGTTCGTTTTTCACGTATGGCATATTCTTTTAAAATTGATTTATATCTCAAAACCATATATAATAAAATTATTCTTTAAGTCAAAATAAAATTGTAATTAAACTAAACTTTAATTATGATAACTGTTCCAAAAGCATCGGATAACATAAAAGATTACTGCTTGAAACCTGAATGCCTTGACACAGGTTGGTATGATTTTCTTATAATTATATATAGGGGAAAATCTCTGGAACTTTTAACTATTATGTCCCTCGCGTATATTTTGTTAATTCCAATGAAATTTTACCTGGTTTTTGTTGGAAAAATCAATACTTGATACGAGCAATCATTTCCAACAGGTTTCACATTAATTTATTAAATAAATAAATAATTATTTAATTTTCAATGCACGATTTTCAACAATTTCTACTTGTCCCTAACCATACTTTGTGGTGCTTTAAACGATAAAACTTTATTATTAAAAAAAATTACCAGTTCTAAGATACGTCATTTTAAAGTTAATTAAACGATGAACACATTTTCGCAAGAAAATTAACATTTTGTAAATTGTAAAAAAAGTTATAAGCTTTTAAAAGTTGTCCCTCACTTTTAACCTTTTTGACTGCAATCCTCTTATTTAGCATTTTTCTTTGATAAGACAATTGGCACACCAAAATAACTTATGAGAAATTAAAGTTCAAGTCATTAGAATTATTTTGAGACATATTAAATTGATGTGCCTCGTGTCTTAAAAAAATTATTGTAATTTTAATAACAGAAAACACGTGTGTACAAAATGAGAATTTTATTTTAAATAAATGTTGAAATTATTAACCAAATTTTATCATTTTTAAAAAATTGTAACTTCACAGTAATTTCCTTTCCATTGTTTTTCATTCCAAAATCAACCACCTGTTGAATACTTTTCTGTTTTAGGTTAACAATAATTTGCAATTTTAAATAATTAATAACTTTTTTAAGACAAAAAATTTTATCTGTCCACTTATATAATTTGAAATCTTCGTACTTGAAGTTTATGTTGACAGAGTTTCAATACTGTGCTCGAAAAAAAGAATTTTTTTTTTCTTTTATTGAAAAGTTAAAAGTTCCAGAGATATGCCCATAGAGTAAATAGAATATTTTGATTATTATGTTATTGCGTCATCAAAAAATTAAAACAATTAACAGAAGTTTTCACTTTTTGAGTAGCCTCAAGAGTATTAGAGTACATGGACCAACGTTTTGATCCTTGCGACAATTTTTATAAATTTGCCTGCGGTAAGTTTCCAAAATCGAGGAGGATTTCAAATTACGAATCGGATAAAATCGATGGTTTTTCTCTTCTTGAGAATAAAATTGAACAAGAAATGAAGACAATTCTAGAGAAGAATTACGAACCTACTGAACCAAACTATGCAAGATTAATAAAAGCTTTTTATAGAGAATGTATGAATGCAAGTAAGACATTTGTTAAAATCCCGTTACATTTTTAAATTTTACCAATTGTGTAAATCATGCAGCTAAAATCAAAAAACTAAATTTAAATGATTAATATCATAATTGTGCAAAAAAAAACTTGGCAGACGATTTAATTTATTAATCGCTTGCAGATAACACCAAACAACAAAATCTAAATTCAATTTTGGACTTGTTAAAAAAAATTGGTGGATGGCCACTTTTAGAAGGAAATTCTTGGAATAATGTGAATTTCCAATGGGAAAAATTTGGCTCCCTATTGGACAGTTCCAAAGATAATTTCATTTTTTCAAATTTTCGCCAAGATACAAAAAATAATTCAAACATAATCCTACGAGTATGTAAAGTGATTATATGTTTCTTCCAACAAATTGAGCCTTAAATTTTTGTTTATAATTTATTAATTGCTATTATTTTAGATTGAACAACCAACAAATCTTAATGTATCCCCTAAATATTATAATGAAATAAATGACACTGTACATCTTTTTGGAGCTAAAAATGATAATATTAAAACTGATATAGATAAAATTATCGAAATAGAAAAAATGCTTATTAATGTAAGTATTCATTAAAAACTAATTGTTAAATGTTGATTAAAAAAAGATTTCTTCTTTGTAGATAAATTATTATCAGTTTGCAAGATACGTTCCAAATTTAATAAATTTTTAAACATCTGATTATTTACAGATAACTGTGCCAACGAGAGATAGAAATTATATTAATCTTACTAGAATGACTATTAAAGAACTCAATGGAAATTATTCTAATATTTTGTGGAGAGAATACATTGATTCTATTTTGAACCCAGTTACTAATATCAGAGATGATGATATTATATTTGTTATGGATCTAAGCTACTTTCATCAATTGAACAATCTAATTAATCATATCTCAAAAAAAGATCAAGCAAATTATCTTATATGGAAAGCAATTAACGATCTTCTTAGTAATTATGTTGGCGCTAGTGAAGACAATCCGCAGAAATGGAAACATTGTTACAATACTGTAAATAATTTTTTCCATAATAGTCTTGGAATGCTCTATGTCAAATACTACTTCAATTTATCAGAATCTGGGAAAAAAGATATCGACGAAATGTTCGAAAATATTTTTCAGCAGTTCAATACTCTTCTAAATGAAGTAAGAATTAGAATATTATTTTCTTGATGTAGAATTACAAAATTTTTCTGTATTGGAACAAGAATGTACTATTTGAGAAATTTTTTATGCTATTAACAAACAAAAAAACATGTATATTTTACAATTATTATAATGCATTATTAATTATTGCAAAATCTACAACTTCAAAAATATTAATTTAGTAAATCTATTTAGAGTTATTGGCTGGATGATAAAACAAAGGAAAAGGCTTTAGAGAAACTTGCATCATTGTCTATAACACATCCAGTAATTTTCAAATTATTTGATGACATGGAAATTGATGAATATTACGCAAAGTTGAATATAACGCCAAATAATTATCTTCAATTAATAATTGACATACAAAAATTTAACAGAAATAAAGATGCAGATTTATTTAGAAAATCTTTAAATAAAAATAGTTGGAATCAACAGTACAATCCAATGAAAGTGGGGGCAATGTCTATTCCTTTTAATAATAGTATTGGTTAGTATTTTCGCTTTTTGTGATATTTTTTAATTTTATCTAAAATTAGGACAAAATATTTATAAAACGCATAAAAAAATAACTTTAAATACATTTCAGTGACAATTTATATGGGTGCAAGTACTAAATATGTAAATATAATGAAAACATTAGATGGTCCATTCATGAAGACAGTGGTCCACTCTATTAATTCGACTAATTCATTTTTTGTTTCGTTTTAGCTGTATCACCCGGTATTTTTCAAGGAGTTTTCTTTAATGAAAACATACCTCAGTACATGAATTATGGATCAATAGGATTTGTCATTGGACACGAATATACTCACGGTTTTGACAGTTTTGGTCGAAATTTTGATAAACTGGGAAATCTCGTCAATTGGTGGGAGCCGGAAAGCAGTGAAAATTTTCGTTCAAGGGTTCAATGCCTTATTAATCAATATGGAAACTATACATTAAATGAAGTTAACTTAAAAGTAAGTTTAAAAAAGCTACGATTTCCGATTTATTTCGAAATTTATCCCCAACTTATAAAGATTTTTAAGGGAGAAACCACATTAGGACGCTATGTTTTAGCCGTTTTTCGAGATTTTTTTTAAAGCACGGAGAAAAATGAATTGTTGTGGTTACTAAAAATGAAGTTCACACAAAAATTCCAGATTGTCAAAATAGAACCAGCAGTTCTATTTGTTTTTGGGACAAAAAAATTGTTAAAATGGGATTGTTATTAAAACTATTCGGATTGTTCGGTAAACAAACAGAATTATTTGATGAACAAAGAAAATTGTTATGGAACAGTTGAAATAAAAAAATTAAATTGTTAAATCGGCAATACAATTTGTTGTATTAACAAAGCTTTGATCCGTCTAATACAATTTGTTCAGTTTCTTTGCCTTCTAAAATAATCGATAGCAGATTTCCGTAGGTCATATCATCAGTTTCATTTGCATTAACATTTGTCATTTTTTTTTAAAAAAACTAATAATAAAAGCAAAAGTGGCACATGTGCCAGAAGCAAAGGACGCGACGATCTGCATGCCCGTTTGCGAGAATTCAAGATGAGCACGTGACATGGAACAATAAACCTGTCAGCTGAACAAATCCGGATTGTTCAGCAATTGACAAAGAGTTTGCTTCTGCAACTATACGGAATTGCAAACTGAACAAAGCTGACAACAAAAAATTCGTATTGTTGTTAAAACAACATACATTTGTATTGACAACAATCCGAATTGTAATATTACCATTTCGAATTGTAATATCAACAAATCTATACTGACAGCAATCCAAAAATTGTTTGCACCACAATCCTATTTTTCTCCGTGAGGGATAAATTTTTTTTAATGAAATGCAAGAATAACATTATGTTGCACACATAATTATCTGTATCTCACAATTTTTTAAAGCATTTTCATTAAAAACATTCGAAATTAGCAGCCATTAAACCTTGAGCTGCAACATCGAATTTCGCTCTGAAAACTTTTTCAGCCTACTTTTGAATACATAAACTGACTATTTATGCAATAAAATTCAATTTTTTGAAAAATTTAATGTAGTTTCCCTCTTTAAAAATTAATTTAATAATTATTATTAATTTCCTAAAATAATTGGTTTAAAAAAAATTTCATTTTCTGTTTTGAATCTAAAAATCAGATTAGATGAAAAATTGAAAATTAATATTATAAATAACCGTCAAAAATCAGTTGCCAACATTTGTATGAACTTTATTTTTGTAATATTTTCCAGATAAATGGCACGATAACGGCAGAAGAAAATACTGCAGATAATGGTGGAGTTAAAACTGCATATTTAGCTTATCAGAGCTATGTGAAAAAACATGGTCGCGAAGCTTTGTTGCCAGGTGTAAATTATACACAACTTCAGCTCTTTTGGATTAGTTTTGCTCAAACTTTTTGCGAGAAAATTACTCCACATAAACAGAGGAACAAAATTAACAGCGACTATCACAGTCCTGGGGAATTTCGAGTTCTTGGTTCCCTTGTCAACCGAGAAGAATTTGCAAAAGATTTTCAATGTTCAAACAACAAGTGGATGAATCCTAGAGAGAAGTGTTCCGTTTGGTAATTCCAAAAACGAAATTGACAATTCAATATAAACATAGAGATCTGTTTGAACGATTTTATTTAATTTAACACAGTTTTTGAGTTTTATTTTTATAAATTAAGAATTCCATTTTCTAAGTGTAATACAAATAAATATTTATTTTCTTATATTAGTCAAGTAACCGACTAATTGAATGAAATAAATTTTCTTTCAGTGTAGAAAAAAAAATGCATTTGTAATATATTTTTCATTCCAACAGAGTGAACAAAAAAAAAAAAAAAAGAGTAAAAGTTTAGACTGATCTAAATTAAAAGTGTGGCTGAAATGATATTATAATTAAGACACGAGACTTCCTGAAACTTGTTTTGAGTTGTCATGGAGGTCTCAGTCTTGAAATTTCTTATAACACCGAGTTATGCCAACAATCTGGTGTGTTGATTATCAATGGTCTTGATCCATCACCATGGACTTAAAGACGTTCTCTGATATAGTCAGGCATGCAGACTGACAAGACTTGGACAGTAAGCTCCAGTGGCTATCTGATTTATTACGAACTCCTTCTTCTCACAACGGAAGGCTATGCGGCTTTCTCTTTGTCTCACTTCACCTTATATTCTTGTTCCTTATATATATATATACATATATATTTGTATTACTCGAAAAACGAGAAAGTCGAGAAGTTATGTTGTTATATACACTGTGCGTATATAACGGTGCGATATCTGACGAAATACGTCGCGTGGCTATCAATTTTGCGCGCACTGTGCGCCACCATTTGGATATTATAAATAAGCCACAACAGCATTGCAACTACCAATCTGGTTTCTCGTAGGGTATTAGCGCCACTGGATATTATTTCTGCAAACAACGATAAACAATAATTTATACCACACACTTTGTTCTTAATTTTAAGCCGGTTTTGACATAATATGGAAAATGATGGCAATTATTTCTCAATGAGTCCTTTTGTTTTTTAATTTTTGTCATCTATTTATTTAATATTCACTCTCTTCTATAAAATATATAGATTAATTTCGATCCATAGTATAAACTGTGCGATTCCAGGTGAGATTTTGACTTTTTCGGAGTAGATTAACCGATTGCAATGAAACTTTGGAATTTTGTTATATATATTATAGTAAGACTAATCTTTAACGTAAATTTCAGCTTAAAATATTTGTTAGTTTACGAGATTTGCAATAATAACAAAAAATTTTAAACTGCTATATCTTCCGTTCTAATAATCAGATTGAGGTCTACTTTTTTTTAAAATGTCAAGGAAAATGAGAGGAATAAATCTCTTTCAGAACAATTTTTTATAATTTTACAACTAAAAAAATTATTAAATAATAATTGAATAAATTTCACGCGACTATCTAAAATTCAATCACTTAAACGCTAAAATGATCTTACCAGTGTTTTCTTTAATGTTCCAAAGGAATCCAATTGTAAATGCAAGTTTAACTTGGTTAATTTTAATAATTTACGAGTATAAACAATTGCGATTTCTGCTAGTTGACGTGCAGACGACATTGCGCACGCAGCGTTCTCACGTAGCCAATTTAGTCCACGAATCACGTCAGCTAGTTACAGGAGAATGCTGCGTGCGCAATGTCGTCTGCACGTCAACTAGCAGAAATCGCAATTGTTTATACTCGTAAATTATTAAAATTAACCAAGTTAAACTTGCATTTATAATTGGATTCCTTTGGAACATTAAAGAAAACACTGGTAAGATCATTTTAGCGTTTAAGTGATTGAATTTTAGATAGTCGCGTGAAATTTATTCAATTATTATTTAATAATTTTTTTAGTTGTAAAATTATAAAAAATTGTTCTGAAAGAGATTTATTCCTCTCATTTTCCTTGACATTTTAAAAAAAAGTAGACCTCAATCTGATTATTAGAACGGAAGATATAGCAGTTTAAATTTTTTTGTTATTATTGCAAATCTCGTAAACTAACAAATATTTTAAGCTGAAATTTACGTTAAAGATTAGTCTTACTATATATAACAAAATTTCAAAGTTTCATTGCAATCGGTTAACCTACTCCGAAAAAGTCAAAATCTCACCTGGAATCTCACAACTTTATAGACCTGCTGATCTTAATCGAGTAACAAACTCAGAGAAATAGAGCATAATATATATATATATATAAATATATACTATTTGATCAAACTAATACGTAAATACAAGAGGCCCACGATTAAAAGCGTTCCGCCGATTATCGCGATATCGTGTAATTTATTGCTCCGTGACGTTGCGCTGGGGCCCCTCGTATTCTGACAATGAGTCAGAACTTAATTTTTGTGAATATACTATGTATAAGAATGTTTGCGCCGTGAGGCAAGCTACATAATAACTCTCTAATTGCTCTATGAACAATTAAATATTGTGTTGTAAATTATTTTTTTCAAATTATCCATTTTTTTTTGGTAAAATACGATTTTAAAAACATATAATTTCCATGAATTAGTAGTTTTCTACTAGCAATTAGTAGTTTTTCTTTACTAAAAATTAAAAACTTCAAAGGCTGCGCAATAGTTTTTAGCATGCATGAGTTACGAATCTTAGTGGTTAAAAATTATCAAAATCTCAAATTTAAAAAAAAAAATTTTACAATTATACATGTGCAAGAACATGAACGTGTTCATGTACAAGTACTTATACATGAAATTGTACAAGATCATGTACATTTTCTTGTACAAGTATATCTTTCTTGTACAAGATCTTGCACCAGATCTTGTACAAGATCTCACACATGAACTTGTTCCAAATTCGTATGCATTTTCCTGTACAGGAACTGGTCAGAACTTGTACAAGTTCAGTTGCTGATCCTGTACAGGAAATTGTACAAGATCTTATACAGGGATTTTCAGTAGGGTAATACAGTAATATACTTAAGGAAACTTTTTTCTTAAAACTTTCTTAGAAACTATATGCTGTCCCCATTTACCCCAAATTTTATGAAATTTTCTAAATTTTGGGGTAAATGGGGACAGTCAGTTTCATGCGTTTAAAGCTTATCTAAATTTTATTCTGCTACATAAAATTAATCCTGGGAACGTAAATAACAACTTTAAAAAAAACCCGCAAATATTACATTTTAAAAGAAGAAACTTTGGTAATTTGTGAAAAATAACCAATTTGTTCCCATTTACCCCAACTGACCCTACATATTTTAAAGGATTATATTTGTTTGCCATTTTTTAAATATTCTTACATTAATGTAAAAACTGACACACAGAATACGGAAATATATAATGACAAATTATATTTTCCATTCCGACAAAGACATTTCTAAAATTGATTCCAATTAAGCTGGTTGAGCCGTGCAATACCATTGTATATATCATATTATTATGATTACGATTCCGGTCGTTGATGTAACGCACAACCAATAAATTTCCCAAACATTATCGCCCGCATAATATTCTCGATATCGTTGAAACATTCAACCATTCTATACTGATTACACTCTTGGCAAAGAAGAAAATGCTCTTTTATTGATAGCGCAAAAGTATATAGAAATTGTAACTGGATTGCAATTTTCTTTATATATATGTACCTCAATATTAGTAATTTTTCTATATACGTATATAAAATAGAAATTCGCTGATTTGAAATACATTTCTTTGGCTTTATATTATATATATATATAAAGTAATAATGGTGAAACTGTCGAGATATCATTAAAATTGAGAAAAGAAACTTTGTGAATCTACAAAGACACTTTAATAGAAGATTATTGATAAGATGAAACAAAAGAATAGAAACAGAAGAGAAAACAAAAGAAGCAGAAATTTACTTTCTTCAATGGCTTTGATATATTCTCCTTTATCTTATTTCTCTCCTCCCCCCCTCTCTCTCTCGCTCTCTCTGCTCTTGAAACAGTGTATAAAACGAAAAATCGCATTACACTTCGTAGGAGTCAGTCTCTCTTTTTAAAATTTACTCTTTTCACTAATTAATTACTCTTTTTTGTAATGTGAAAAAGGTATCACAAATTGATTTTTTTTTTGAACCTCAGGCTTCATTTTGCCCTTTTAAAAAAATCTACAAAATTTTAGACCGATTCATTAAGATTTATTCGAGTAATCAAGAAATCAAAAAATTGTCAAAAAACAGACGAAAGGCTTTAGCTCGACTTTTTTTTCAGCCTCTAAATATTCAATTTATTATTATTATTTTTAATAAATTAAAAAAAAATCATAACTTTTTTCTTTAAGTCTCAATCGAAAAATGTGATACATGTCACTGATAGGGGTGACTAGAATTCATGAAGAAAATCAAAATTGATCATTCTTCATGAATTTTTGTCCTCGGCCGAGTCATTGGTAACGGGTCTGCTACGCTTTCCAACCAAACTCCACGCCGCGCCTCTCTCCTATTTCCCGCTTTTCTCTCCCACTCTCCACGCGTCAGGCCCTTTGCTGTCAACGCGTCACTTCTTTAAACCTCCTGCTCGCCGGATACTTTTCCGAGCGGAGTTTTCAGTTAATTTGTTTAAAAAAAAGGTTATGTTCGAGGTTTAATGTTTTTAGATCTATACATATTAATTATAACTTATAATTTATTATAAATAATTATTATATTGTAATAAATTGTGATTAACTAATTAATAATTACAATTGTTGTTATTATAATAATTGTAATTTTATTGATTGTTAATTATAAATATTATTGTTATAATAATTTATAATTTATTTATAATTTATAATGTTAGATATATATATATATATATATATATATGTGTGTGTGTGTGTGTGTATTACTTATAAGTTTTCAATTTAGTTCTTATTGTTTAACGCTACGAGCGCTGTTCTGTAGTAAATACGTAGTTATTATTTCACTCGCAGTCGAGATGACTTGCTAAGTGTATATAAGGTCTGAGTGTTAGAACACCAGCCAGCAGAGATTTGCCGCCTAGCGGCGTGTAGGTCTCTTGCGTACTTTCAAATAAAGGTTCTTCTAACTGAACTTTTCTACTTTTCTTTCACCCTACTACCGTAGGCCTACTAATCAATTTCTATTTTCAGGCCCCAACCCTCTTTCACACTCTCACTAACGTGAATCGTACGGGGAGTCTCTCTCTACGGGCGGTTACGTTACGTGCAGGGTCTCTGGCCCACCTATCCGATACGGGGAGTCACTCTTTACGAGTCGGATTACGGTACGGGCCCAGAGAACACAAAAAACCCGCCTAACGATACGGGGAGTCACTCT